GCCCGTTTGAGGCAGCTTATTTGGTGTGGTTGCTGTTCTGTTTGGGAAAATTATATTTGGGTAAACTACGTTTTCAAAATATTGAAAACAGTATTTTCACACTGCACCCATCTAGATGCGGTGACAGCTTTCTGACAACGATCTGACTTTTTCTATAAAATAAAAATTTGTAATAGTCATCGCACCTAATTTATTAATAAATTATTTTTAATTAACTTATTAACAGATTATTCAATAAATTAAAGCTCCCTCAAAATAGTGTAAAAACACAAAGCCTTAGTAGTGAGTATCAAAAGTGCTAAGAAAGTTTGTCTTTTCAAATGTATACCAATTTCATCTTCGAACATGAAGAAGGAATGATTCAGTATCTTTCCCTGATTCATAAATACTGAGTAACATAATTTAGATAAAGAAGTTATTTCAGGATGCGTTACATTCAAAACAGAGCCCAACTACTACTTCAAATTACGAACAGCTTAAGCTAAATATATCATGAGTTCGAGTGTTGTTTTTAACCTTGAGGTTTTTTTTTTGTCCTGCTATATAACACTGAATAACCAGGAAAATCACAATCCACAAAGACTCGAGTTGAATATTATAAAGATAACTTGTGGAATAATTTTTGTGCAAAAAATAATTAATAAAAAGAAACTTATAACATAAAAAAACATCAAGTTATTTGTCCATGAGCCATCCAACAAGCATCAAGATCATGACAGGGCTTCTCTCCTGGGCAACCACTCCACCCCACACCACATAACTTTCCATATCAAATTCCAAAAGCTGAAACATTACAGGAAAATTGAAGAAGATTTTATCAGTCTTCTGAACATTTAAGCAAGATAGCTTAAATCCTATCAACTAGAACTTAGCTAAATTTTAATCCAACTGCTTGTATAAATCCTAATTCACTCTATATTGCTTAAATCCAATATTTGTTAAAGAGTTTCTCCTCTCATAGCTCCTAAATCCAGAAACAAACAGTCAAACAACTTTTTAAGAATTTAATCTATTAGAGATATCTGGATTTGTAATATCTATTAAATCCTGCTTAGTTATACCCAGCTAAGTAGCCAAAGAGCCCTTAAAATAAAAGCGAAATTAGAAGCCCAAATAGAAGAAAAGAAAAAGAAAAAAACTCACTGTGACAATTCCCGCGACGCAATATCTCTGTAACTTCCCTGCAAATAAGGCAATATTCTATCACTGTCACGAAAACTCACTGAAGCAGGGGGCACGGGTAGGGGGCGAAAGAGCGCAGGGGTAAGAACGAGCGAGGGGGCTTGATGCTTGATCCTTTACAATTGATAAAATGGAAGTATTCTTTGGGTCTTATAAATGTAAAACATATCTAAACTTGATGCTTTACCATTTAGCGATGGTGGAAGGAGTGCCGGGGGAAGGGGGCTTCGCGATGACACTTCGAGGGGCCTTGATGCGTCACGAGTCGATCGGGAGCAGCGGACCGGCGGAGTTTGCCGTGAGAGGAGGACGACCTTCGGAGAAGAAGAGGAAGGGGGAGAAGTTCGTCGTCTGCTACGACGAGAATCTGGGCCGGAATTTTATCGGATGGACGAATGCGAAGAAGAGGGCACGGGGGTTAAAAACATGAAGCGAAGCTGGGACGCGGGTCCGTGGGCGCTTTCCGCGTTCGGGGAATATCGCAGCACGCCTCAGCAGAAACACCGCGCCAAACGGACGAAACATGCGGTCCGGTGCCGCGCGGTCTGGTGCCGCGCCGCAGTCCTGCCGCAGCCCCGCAAGAAGATTAAATTCAGTTTTTGGCTATTAATTGACTAATCTTAAGCTTAACGTTAATTAGCAGGAGGAAAGAAGCTCGATGTTGAAGCAATTGAATCTAAAGTATATTATTATGAGATGCAGAAGCGTTTTACTTTTTTAATCTATAATACCTACATTATGCTTGATATTTTTATAGATCCTCAGATAGTTGGTCTTCGATCCCACATGGTGAAAGGAGATGAGAGTGTTTGCCTCATTATAAGTTTAGAAAAATTAAACCGAATCCCCTAGACTTTTCTTCTAAAACCAAGAGATACAGCAGCAGCTGCAATTTCCCTAGTTTTTTCGTGAAATTTTCAATCATTCTACGCGAAGAAAAATTCGATGGATAAAAGTATTACAGGATCCTTCATGAGAAGATCCAACATCTTACTCCTGAAGGATACGCGGCTATGTATGTCACTAATAAATCCATCCAACCGGACCAAAATCTCCAGCATCAACTTCAACTCACGTTTTATAAAAAAACCAATTAGTCCTGATGATGTTGCCAACTGATAATAGCATTGTGGGATACTATTAGGCTCTGTTTGGGAGAAATTTTTAGGTGCGGTGCGTTCATTTGTCGCAACTTTTCACGAAAGTTTTTCGTTTGGTTTGTGACTGCGGGATTTAATTTTGCAGAAGCGGGGTGAAAGAGGGTAGCTACATTAACCCCGCGGCCCCGCTTTCGCCTGAGATTTTTACCCTTTACTCCTAAGGCTCTGAAAGCGGACAAGAGTTCTCTCTCGCATCTACCCTAGGTGCTTCCCCGCTGCTTCCCTCGTGTCCCCTTCTCCTTCTTCTTTCATCGTCCCTCGATCGACAGATCTCAGGTAAAACGAGTCATTTTCTTCTTGTATGTGCGGATCTGAGGAAGGATGTGTGTTTTTGCGGCTCCTAATGTTTTCTCCTCCTCTTCTCTTTCCTGTTTCTGCCATTTTTATTTTTTCCTCCTTTCATTTTCCTCCTTTCCTGTGGTGGATCTCTAGCTTCACGAAGTATGGCTTTAGCTAGATATTTTGGCACACGAAAAATTTCTTCATTTTACTCTAACCCGAATTGAACCCTTAGATTTGGGAACAAACTGACATTGTCCATCCAAGTTGCAGATCTTGCACCCATATATGCATGTATGCAGTATTTCATTAGATTGTTTCGTGGTTGAAGATTTGCAAGCATCGGTTAATGGAAGATTGTCGTTTTTGCGGCTCCTGATGTTTTCTCCTCCTCATCTCTTTCCTGTTTCTGTCATTTTTATTTTTTCCTCATTTCCTATGGTGGATCTGTAGCTTCACGAAGTTTGGCTTTGGCTAGAAATTCTGGAAACGAAAAAATTTATTCATTTTACTCTTACCTGAAAGGATCTTGCACCCATATATGCATGTATGCAGTGTTTCATTACATAGTTTTGTGGTTGAAGATTTGCAAGCACCTGTTTCATTACCTGTTAATGGAAGATTTGCAAGCACATGTTCATTTTTTTTCTTTTTACTCCTACCCTAAATGAACCCTGTTTCATTACCTGTTAATGGAAGTATTGCAAGCACCTGTTGAGCATTTGGAAGTACTATTCAAAAAAGAACATCCAAGCTTGCTTTCATAATGAGCATTGAATTGCTTTATTCCATAAGGAAAATGATTAGGATTAACGATTTCAGTTTTCAATGTTGCCTTTGGAAAATATTCATTGCTTTATTCATTACTTGTTAATGGAAAATTTGATATTATTATTCTTTTTGTTCTAGTTATAAGATGATGACTTGTTGCAATGCATTGAATTGTTGTAAGAGAATTGATAATTGTCTTCATATTTTTAGCTGGCAATATTGGCCAGATAACTAGTTTACTTAGACTTATTGTGCTATCATTTGACGTCCTACTATTTTTGGGTTCAAGTCACAAATGATTAATTTGTTGAATGTTCATTGTTGTGTATGATAAGAGGAGTCATGTGTCTGACTAGGGGAACTGCCTTATAGTATTTCCTTAACTATTTGGTCAATCTCTATTGCAGAGGTAAAGCCATGCTATCAGTTTGGTGAAACACTTTTTTCTTTTTATTTATAGATATGAAGAATTGGTGTGGCCTTAGAATGTATGACTGGAAGTATGGTTTCCTTAATTAATTTTGGAATTGGTTCCATATATTGTGCCGAAGATTTTCAAAACTATGGTAATCTCTTAGCATGAATGTATAGTAGCCACCAATCTTAAAAATTAAATTGCAGCCAAGATGGTTTAGGGAAAGGAAAGAATAATGTTTGTGAATTTTTTAAAGATGTCTTTAAAGCTGAAATAGTTTCTCTGACGTTCTACAGTTGGAAACTAATTTCATTGTTTGATAGATCATAATTGATTTGTAGAAAACATGTGTTATCCATCATGACAACATTTGGGAACTTGGCATGGTCTTGTAAGCAATTGTTATATTATTATTTTTATGTTATCTTTGCACCTAACTTGTTTTGCATTGCTCTAGTACTTGGCAAGTTGACATTGGTCCTCGCAGCATTTTTTTTTATTTTTTGCTTCGGGTTAGCTGTTTATGGGATATGCTGTCGGTTTCCTCTATTATGCCAGATTCCTATATGAAGCCGGTTTGGTCTGGGCTGTGTGGGTTGCATATGTAAGTTGTCGGTTTGCAGTGGGTTGCATTTGTATGGGTAGATGTGTATACTGCTGGTTTTTTTATGATGTGGGTAGCTTTGTATGTTTCAAGGTTTCTATATGCTGTTGGTTTTTTATGCTTCTGGAAGTGCTTTTGAAAGGGAGTAATGCATGGATCAAAGCTTTGTATCTTCCTCTTTGGTGCTATAATAAAGTTGTTGGCCTCCTTTCCCGTGGATGTAGGTCATGTTGACCAAACTACGTTAAATTTTTTGTCCTTTTATACATTTTTTATGGTTCATTAAATTTTTTATTTTTATTGAATATGATGCAACAACCATAAATGTTTCTCATGTTATAACTTTTGAATTATGACATTGTTGTGTTTCATTTCTTTGCATTATCGTAGTATTAACATGGCTGGTAAGGCTAAAGAACATGGTGCACCAGCACTTTAGGAAAAAGAAATCAAAATGTTATTTTGCGACCTTTGTATGAAAGAGATAGAACTGGGCAATAGACCAACAACGTTTTTCAATAAAGAAGGTTGGCAGAATATCATTAAAAATTTTAAAGACTCAACGAGACGAGAGTACGACAGGCTACAAATGAAAAACAAATGGGATCAACTGAAAAAAGATTGGAAAATTTGGAAGGATTTAAAACATGGTTCAACTGGTTTGGGTTGGGATCTGGTAAAGCGAACCATTGATGCTTTAGAAGAGTGGTGGGCAGAAAGGCTCGCGGTTAGTAAATTTAATTTTTAATAATTTGCATAATATCTTTCTTTTTCATAATTTACTAAACTGATTTGGGTTTTTTTCCAGGTGGTGCCCGCAGCGAAAAAGTATAAAACTTGTAGGATTGAACCCGATTTGGAGGAGAAGTTAGACCTGATATTCGGGGGTGTCGTCACCACAAGAAAATATGCATGCGCTCCCAGCGAGATAGAATTTGGTGAAATACAGGACAATGTTGCTATCACCTTATCAGATGATTCACCTGAATTCCCAAGTTCGGGTCCCACTGAGATTCAATCCACCAACTGCTCGAAGCGATCTAGGTTTGAGAGTTAAAAAAAAGGGTGGAGCTGATTCTATCAGAAACCAGATATCATGCTTGATGGATTCTTCCGACGATGCCCCCCATAAAGTGCAGAAAACGTCAATTAACGAGGTTGTGGCAATTTTAGAGCAAGATCTGAGTATTGCAGAGGATGATGAGCTTTATTACTTTGCTATTGAGCTGCTTCAAGATTCGGTGCAGAGAGATTTTTTCACAGCAATTGCCAAAGAGCGAAGGGTGTCGTATCTACAACATTTTTATGAGCGCAGGAAAATTTGAATGAAGTTTTTTAGTATTTGGTATATGCTTATTTGAACAGTTTATGAGAAGACATGGTTACTTGAACTGTTGTTGATTGAGAATTTTCAATCTAACTTGTTTTTTATATATAATTGTCTTTATGAAAACTGCGAAAATCTGATCTACAATGAAAGTTCCTTAGAAGTCCATAACTCTGATCCGCAATGAATGCTTGTGTTACTACTTGTCACAGGTTAAATAATATAGTTCTTTTCTTAGTGATGGTTAGTTTAATAATTTAGTTTTCTTTGTCAAAATATGTCCATTATAAATCTTGAGACAATTAGCGTGAATCTCAAAGCATTTTAATTAACGAAAAATAGTCAAACTCAAATTGAAAACCATCCAAAACTCCAATTTTATCAAACTTATAGTCAAACTAACCAACACGATGAGACGGCCCAATGACGCTATAATTTGTTCAATTCAAGCAAAATCAAGTTCAAATGAAGTATGTAAATCACTATTGAAATCTTTAGGTGACCTATTAGAAAGTCAAATTGATTCCAAATCCGACATGTTTATACTTAAATTGAGTATCTCGACAAGACGAACACAACAATCCCAAGATCACTCAATTTTGACATTGTTAAGGCACTTAAATATCCACAAACTGTCATCCAATCAACAAAGTCTCTCTAGATCGTTTGATAAATTAATCTTGATTCGTTCCTTATTTGTTGAAAGGCCACACATACTCTATAAATTGAGTCTAATCTTCTTCATGAAAGTAGGCCTAGACCTTAAACTGGAGGAAAAACTAGACTTAGAGCTAGTTCGAGGAGTAGAAGTCAAGTTTCGTCATTCAATATGATACATCATCAATAAATTTAATCATTCAATATGAATCTCGAGGTAATTAGCGTGAATCTCAAAGCATTTTAATTGACGAAAAATATTCAAACTCAAATTGAAAATCATCCAAAACTCCAATTTTATCAAACTTATAGTCAAACTAACCAACACGATGAGACGGCCCAATGACGCTATAATTTGTTCAATTCAAGCAAAATCAAGTTCAAATGAAGTATGTAAATCACTATTGAAATCTTTAGGTGACCTATTAGAAAGTCAAATTAATTCCAAATTCGACATGTTTATATTTAAATCGAGCGTCTCGACAAGACGAACACAACAAACCCAAGATCACTCAATTTTGACATTGTTAAGGCACTTAAATATCCACAAACTGTCATCCAATCAACAAAGTCTCTCTAGATCGTTTGATAAATTAATCTTGATTCGTTCCTTATTTGTTGAAAGGCCACACATACTCTATAAATTGAGTCTAATCTTCTTCATGAAAGTAGGCCTAGACCTTAAACTGGAGGAAAAACTAGACTTGGAGCTAGTTCGAGGAGTAGAAGTCAAGTTTCATCTCGAATCGAAACCCGACGAACGCTTCTCGCTCCCATAATCATCAATCGTCGTTGACCTCTGCCCACTGACCATCGTTGGCCTCCCCATTCTCATTACAATGAAGCCCTCATAGAGTTGTGATGTACGCTGCGAAGTAACGAAGCACTGTGCAGAGTAAACACTAACGTTACGGAGTAACGAACCACATTGTAGAGTAAATGCTAATGTCACAGAGTAATGATGTACCTGATAGAGCAATGCATCATCCAGAACACTATGCAACGATGCACCTCGAAAACACAGTGCACTGAAGAGTCGTCAACTACTTCCAACAACAATTGCTCCCGAACATTGTACAACGAATCCATCTGCAATTAACCATTGTACTTCAAAGAACTGTGTAATTTTTTCCCAGCTGTGAGATAAGGGCTTGTGCGTGTATTCATCAACTTATAGTGAACTGTTCTAATTAAGATAAATCTCATAGTTTTTTCTCTTTTCGGGTTTTCCATGCGAAAGCTTTTAATTCTCTACTTTTCACGAACGAATCGAGCACGAACTCATTGACGAACCGAACGCGAAATGTTCGCGAACAACGAGCTTTTTGACAGCCCTACATGCAGCACTTAGGTTCTGTTTGGCGCAGCTGCAACTTTTCAGCTTTTCGGCTATAGCTGCGTTGCCCCAGGAAGCTGCTGCGGGAAAACTGCTACGAGAAAAGGCTCTGTTTGGTGCAGCTGTGTGAAAACAACTTTGTGGCAGGTGCTTCTGATAAAATGACCAAGCTGTCACTGTTTGGTAAAACTGTTTAAAACAGAACTGTAAGAGCGACATATTTGATACTTTTGAAACTAAATTTCACTTCGAAACAATTCAAAAATTCAGATGTCCAACTAACTTAATAGTGAGCACGGATAATCATAAAGGAAGACAAAGAAGACAAACCTTGCACTAATATCATTCCAATTGTGAATAAAAATGAATGTTCAACTTAAGTAGCTTCAATAACAGCAGTTACAGCTTACAACTTGCATACTGAGCTACCAATGACATGTAAATGTAGCCAACCTATAACCGCATGAATAGATTCAAAGATGGCAAGCAACTAAAAATTTGAGCCATATAAAATTAAGATCTGTCATAACACTGAAATATATAACCAATTTACTCGAATCAGTAGTGTTCTCTTCAAGAATAAGTATATCACAGTAACAAAACTTAATTTATTTCTTCCATTACCCAAAAGACTTTTTGAAAACCTCTAAACAATCACCCTATTCTACCGTAAAACCAATTCTTATAAAACCTAACCTTTTATGCAGAAAATGATTACAAGAAACTACACATAGTAAAAGGGAAACACCAAATAGTAATACCAAGATCATAATTTATTGATTGATGTAAGCAATAACCTACATCCAATGAGGATCTAATCTGAAGTCATACTTGCAGGCAAGCACAGCAATACAGTACATAAAAACGCATTCTTGAAAGTATACAAAAATGTCGAGCAAAACACAAACAAAACTAATATTGAATGATGAGATAAATAAACAACAAAATTGAATGAAAAAAAAAAAAAAAAAAAAAAAAAAAAAAAAAAATGGAGTGCCGTAAAAACACATACCATCCAATTCTCGTATTTTTTACATCTTCCACCTAAACTTTGCATTTTACATTTATGGCACCCAAAGCTTTCCTATAACTTAAAAAATACCACCTTTTTTGAAATACAGATTTTCTTGCATATCTGGGGCCATGCATATAAAACTTGAGTGTCAGGTATATAACTACATGAATTTATTGTTAGATAGTAACATATAATTCCCCAAAAATTTAAAAAAAAGATGCTCAAACCGAAAGCCGATCCGCCCTTTAAATGACGGGCGGCATTGATTTATGTCTCATCCGTCCAACTCTTCCCTTACAATTATTTATAAAAATTGAAATTAAATATAAATAGGCTTAAAATAATGTATTTAAAATAAATTTCTAGAATTTTTTTAATCTAAGATGATAATAAATAAGTTTTATATTTACGCATAAAATTACTTAAATTAAGCAACATTCTAATAAAAACTATAATAAAATACCCTAGCATTAGAAACAACAAAACACAAACTGCACCTGTCGGATTTCACATTTACATTTTGTTCAACCAGCCACCACATTCCATATCACTAACACAATACATCATATAATCCAAAGGGAATCATCCCAGAAGCTGAAACCAAATTGGACAAAACAAAAAGGAGAAAGAAAACAAAAAAAAAAACAAGCACTAGCAATTCTACAAAATAAGCTTACACACCATTAACAGCCCTAATTACAGCGCTAGCATCCAAGGAAACCATGGGAATGCCAGTCATAGCAGTCAATGCCGAGACCTGCTCTCAGCATTCCCTGAACTAGAAGAAGAGGCAAAATCAAAATCAAACAGCTCATTGAAAAGGATCAGATAAGTTTATTAGGCATGTTGCAGTTATAAACTGGATATGAACTGTTATGAACTGGTTCTAGCGAGCGAACAAGTGATAGAAAAATCTCCATTCTTGTCACATCCCTGTTTGCCTATTCAAGAAAAATAGAAGGGGAAAAAAAGGTTTAGTATTCTTAAGCCAGGGTCACTTAAAACTTGAAATGAGTGCTAAAGGTGAAGACTGATATTTACTTCCACTGCAAAGCGTGCCCAAACTTTGTTTTTGCGAGCTTCCATCACTCCCTTCAGGATGGTCAGACCCAAGCCTCTGATTAAATCAGCTATCTCCAAAAAGACTCCTCGCTCCTCGCAAAGCATCTGGAAAAGAAAGTAGTCATATGAGAAAATCTACTACAGGTTGTTGAAATTGGCGTATTTGTAGCGGAATATTATTAATGGTTTAGAAAATTTTACCTCCACGAGCATTTCACGAGGTGGATTAAGATCCTCGACTATGATCGGACATGTCATGGGTTGAGAACCAACTTCAAATGCCCAGGTTGCACCGCCTTGAAAATTATCTTTTAAGAGGACAACTCCATCCTTACTGATGATCTGATAAACATAAACATCCTCAGGGAAACAAATCTAAAGATGCTTTTCAATTACAAATTCCATAAATAGTCTATATTAAGAAATATAAAATATAATGTACTAATAATCTATAATAGGAATTAATATTATTCATTAGTATTCTATTTCCTCACTGTTGAAAATATCTGATTTTCATATATCTCCGCTTATTGTTCTCTTTTTCTAAAATCTTGTTTATTTGCATTATCCAAAAATTGAATAAACACAGTCATTTCCAATTCTATCCATTCTAGCATTATATCCTAGTCATGACCTATCATCCTTCCGATCTTTCTCCAAAATCTTACCGCTGATGCCGCACTCATCAAACTTCTAATCTTAGGTGACACACTCTTAACACCTCCCTCTGATTGTAACCCGCCTACACCATATTTTGATTCCTCCCTCCATAAAATTCACCTGTTCATCTCAATAAACCTTCTTTCATGACTCCACAATTTGTTTGCACAATGCTGTAGCTAACCTTCTATTACCATCATCTCTATCACACCGATAAAATTTAGAGCCTATCATGTGGTGCATTTCATACATGGATTCTTTATCTATCCCTCGTACTATAGACAATTCTTCACCCAAATCACCCTGCAGCCATGATCAATCAGTTAAACATCACCTATGCTCAATAACGTGAACTCATTTTTGCGAGAGAAACAAAAATTGATTCGAGAGATCCAAAACAAAACTCAAAACAGAAGCGCACAAAACAAGAAATCACAGAAAATTACAAAGATCGCTAAGATTTAGCAAAGAAAAACCCAAGAACGAGAAGAAACCATGAAGCCTCATAAAAAAAAAAGAAATCCACTATGAACAAAATAGAATTGTACAAATTACAGCACACTCAAGCCTCTCTATACTTTCGGAAATCAAGAACACTACATCTCCTTTGCACAAGAGAAATTTTGATCGGTAAAATGGAAACATACATAGGAGAGCTGCACAAAAACGATTACTGGCACCATGCGCTCTGATACTTTCTCTTCTCTCCCACAAGATGTGTTCACATTTGCAATGTGTACCTATATTCTCTAATAAAGATAGTGCCAATGAATTTCGTTTTTACTCCATTCAAGCTTCATCAACTAATCCGAAGTACATGCTCTTATTGACCTCCACAAATTATTTCTACTGATTTCTCTATCCAAAAAAAATATTTGCACTATCTCAACATAGGGCCTCAATGTCAATTATTCACGTTGGATTCACATTACTATATTGGAATCACTCAAGTTCCTCCTCACGCGCTACTCATAACCTTTTGACAATAAAATTTACCATTGATCGCTTCATCTCCAATAATTAGAGTTTCCAAACTCAGCATTTTCTATGCAAACTTGAGTTTTTACAAATGAGTGCTATTAAATTTGAGGGGTCTCCAAACTATGAAATTTACAACTAAAGGCCCCACAACATTTAATTTACACCCGAAGGACTCTGTCATGACTCCATGCCGATGGAACAACGCCGGCGGTGTACAAAATAACGACGATCTGCATAGCAATGAGACGAGAGAGATTGAAGAAATCTTCCACGAACCCCGCATTCGGCTTTTCTCCCCGTCCCCATCTCGTACTCGAAGGCAGAAGCCAGGGTCAAAGCAGGGAGCGCGGTGGCGAACCTGATGGCTTCCTCTTGGTCGGACCGCCGGCGATGTTGCTCTAACCCTCTTCACACCATAACAGTCGGTGTCCCTCTATCTGCATTCATTCGGAGGTGATAACTTTTTTAGCAAACAAACTGAAGTTTCTCCAATTACATTCTCTTTCATTTTGCAAATCCTCTACTCTCCAGCAGTCGAATTCGATCGGTAAGGCGAATCATCATCCACCCTAAAGCCATCAAAATCCTCCTCTATCGAAGAACAAAGGTTCACTCCAACCACTTCTATTACAGTCTCCAATTTGTTCATTTCAACTCTATCGTCGCCATCTAAATCCCCTTCCCCTTCAGTTGCTGAAGCTAAATTTTCCACTTTCCTTGTCTCTGTCGGCGGTGATCCATCAGCAAATTTGAATTATAGTGGGGATTGCACGGAACAAAATTCCGCAAAGAAAGACAGAGTCATGACCAAGTCTTTCAGGCATAAATTAAATATTTTAGTGCCTTTAGCTGTAAATTGTATAGTTTGGGGACCTTCATGTGTAAAAACCCCTAAATTTAAATCATCACATGTGCTAATTATTTATGTTGAATTTTGTGACTAGAGCGGCATAAATTTATTGATGGAAGATGGGACTTTAAACCTAATTATAATCGCCACAATAAAGGAAAAAATAAAACAAAATAAAACAAAATAGGAAATACATAATGAAGGAACAAAGATAATAACAAGTAATAATAAGTAATAATGAATAACAATAAGTAATAACAACTAGGGATTATCATTATAAATCTAATACTCCCCCTCAAATTAGACAGAGATGTCAGTTATGTTTAACTTGAATTTGATGTCATCAAACAAAGGATGCGGAAGATTCTTGGTGAGAATATCTGCTAGTTGACCATTGAAGAATACAAAAGGAACACAAATTTCTCCAGGCTCGACCTTTTTTCTCAATGAATTGTTTGTTCATCTCCACGTGTTTATTATGATGATGCGGGAGTGGAATGTGAGCAATACTGATGAAGGTCTTATTAACACAGAATTGTTACAGCATGATGGAAGTTGACATTCGAAGTTCACAGAGCATTATGCGTAACCAGAGAGTTTCACAGATCCCCAAGGACATGGACTAGAATTCATCTTAAGCACTACTCCGGGCAATCACAAACTATATTTTGTTTTTACACGCGACAAGGATTTCCCATAGAAATAAGCAGTAACTCGAGGTGGAACGTCGATCATGAACCGACCAAACCAAATCAACATTTGTTTAAACAACAATAAAACGAGAGGTTCAACGAGAGAAAAACAAACCTGAGCCCAATGTATCTTTTAAACAATGAAGAATCAGGTGGGCAGCTTCGAGATAGTGCTCATAGAGTTCGTGCGTAAATTGACTCGCTATACCAACAGCGTTGATATGTTGAGGCAAGTATGGGCGAGGTAAATGAGTTTTGACATGCATAACATTGGGAATGTCAGATACTTCTTCAATGGGACCCATAGGAATAGCCACAGGTTTGCATAGAAGAACAATGTTCTCTGTCAAGAAATCAAACACACATTGCGCAGAGACAGACATGCCCCGAGATGACCAAATCACTTTCATGCCTAAGAAGTACCGAAAAAATTTCAATTCATGCATTTCAAGGACAAAGCAAGAAGTTTTTTAAGTACTCCAATGTTGGAAGATTGTTACCTCTAAGAACAATATCTTCAACATAAACAATAAGGTTAGCTACTAGCCATTAGAGGAAAGTCAGAAGAAGAGAGTGTGATCTGATTGAGCCAGAATAAAATCATGGCCCACGACCACCTTTGTGAACTTGTCAAACAGAGCCTTGGGAACTGCTTTAAAGAATAGTGAGACTTTCGCAACCTGCATGCCCGCCCTCTGAAGAAAGTGGAGTCCAAGTCAGGAGGGAGAGACATGTCCACCTCTTTTGTAAGCAATCTATTTAAGAATGCACTTAATCCAGATTCACCACAAGGAATAACATGACTCAAATAGTGTTTGACTTGGTCACTGAAACAAATATATCATCATAGTCAACTTCATTGATCTGTGAATAACCTTTGACGATCAATCGTGTCTTGTTGTGTCCGAAAGATCCATCTGAGTTGAACTTGGTGCTGAAAATTCATCAACACCACACAACTTTCTTACCTTTGAAAAATCAACTCACATTGAATCCGTCGGAGGGCATTTATCTCCTCCATTACTGTCGTTTTCCAAGCTGGATCAACAGGAGCAACCTCAATTATAGCTAGGATCTGATGGTTCATTGGGGCACTAGCAAATGCTCGTAGGTCAATGATAAACTGCGAAAAGAGACATATGAGAGAGCATGTCTAATTGTGTACTTTACTCCTTCATTCAGAGGAGGGGTCATGTTGGGGATGTCGCCCGAAGTGGAGTCAAGGTCCTATAAGGAGGTAGCTAGGTTGTCATATTGGTTCGTTGTTCACGAACAGCTCACATTCGGCTCGTTAAGTAGCTCGTGTTTGGCTCAATCGTTAAGCCTAACGAGTTGAACACGAACAAAATTTTAAGCTCGAAATGTAAACAAGTCGAGCACAAACAAAAGTTTGTTCATTTGTTTTTGGCTCAAATTGGCTCGAATATATATATGTGTTATATACACACATACATACATATATATATGTATATATACACACATACATATATATATGTATATATACACACATACATACATATATATATGTATGTATGTATGTATGTGTGTATGTATGTGTGTGTATATATATATACACATATATACATACATATATACACACACATACATACACACATACATACATGCATACATATATGTATGTATGTGTGTGTATATATATATATATATGTGTG